GACCCTACACAGGGTTTCCAAGGCTGTAAATCTTTACAGGAGCAGACTGCCTCATCTTTCTCCCCATATAATCCATTCCCTACCAAAACCTATCCCATTGCCATCAAGATGATTCCAACTCAAGGCAGCCCATGTGTGACAGAGAAATGTGCTCCAAGTTTTCTTGGCTGTATCTTCTTGGAGGTAGACAGCCAGTCCTTTCATCTGCAGTGCTGCTGGGTAGGTTCAAACTGCCAACCAAACTTCCATCTTGATGTTGTTGTTAAGTGCCGTGGAGTCGGTTATAACTCATAGAGACCCTGTATAGGATTTCTGAGGAGCTACTGGTGAGTTTGAACCTCCAACCTTGCAGTTGAGTGCTTATCCTATAGTACCACACAAGGGACTGCATATTACTGCTCTGTTAGTTTTTATCTTTCACTATACAAGCTCTAAGCTTCTTCAACTCTGTTACTTAAAGATATACAATTGTTGCATTAATTCTTTTATTCTTTATAATTTTTAAATTAGAATTCAGTTTGCATATTAAGGGAATCTCATAGTTTCTTCTAGAATCCTATTTTCAGATGTTTTTATTCTATGATATATTGTCATTTTAAAAGTATGTCCAGTTGATGAACAGTTAGAATGCAGGACATTTTTTTTTTCCTTTCATCATTAGCTTTTTTCTAAGGTTTTTGTGAATTGAGTGATAGTTTACATGGGGGAACATCAGTTTTACATTCATAGTTTTATTGCAATGAGTACAATCTCCTCTGTGCATCATCATTCAACATTATTTGCTTCTATTCCCTCTGTTTTTTTGTGTGTGTTTTTTTGGTGGGCGGGGGATGCTCACAAAAACACTCAAGAATATATAATCATTTAAACAACCAAAGGGCACATTCTACAAGCCTGCCTCCTGGCTGCCAGCACACAGCCTTTCTCTTTCCATGAATCTAGAGATCTCAGCTGTTCCCTCTATCCCTGTCCCCATCTCTGCCTCCATATGTGATATTGTTGCTTCTCTGGATCAGGTTCCGCATTCCACTTGGGAGCACAGAGCATTTTTAAGGGCAGTAAAAGCATTCTGTGTGATACTATAATGGTGGACACATGGTATCATGCATTTGTCAACACTCACAGGAACATACAAAACAGAGAATGAATGAACCCTAATGTGAACTACTGACTTTAATTAATAATGTATCAATATTGGGTCATTGGTTGTAATGTACCCTACAAGGAGAAAGAGTGTTTAAGGGAGCTTGAACTCTTGGTACCTTTTGCACAATTTTTCCATAATCCTAAAATTGCTCTAAAAGATAAAGTATATGAGGAAAAACAAATATGCCCACTCTTAATTAGTGTTGGCTGGGTCATTTACGAGTTCTTCCTTTTGTCAACTTCCTTTTCCAGGTCATCTGCATTACAGACAAAGGAAGTGTTAAGACACCTTTGATCCAATATGATACTACTTTTGAACCTGGTAAACATTTAAATCATATTGTTTAAGATAGCACCTACTCATTTTCCTATAGAGCATCATATATGTATGCTTATATAAATGTGTTCCAATCTAGGAATGCTGGTAGATGTTGGGTTAGATATTGGAATGCTTACCACAGAGTTGGCAGTTCAAACTCACCAGCTGCTCCATGGGAGATAGATGAGAATTTCTGCTCCTGTAAAGATTGACAGTCTCTGATCCTTATAAAAGGTCACTATGAATTGGAATTGACTCGAAGATAGTTTGGTTTGGATTTTAATACTAATCTATTAACAAAGACTGTCTGTGGTGCTGTAGGATAAGTACTTGACTGTT